TGCACTTAGGATGGAAGAATCCCATGCACAGCTACAGGCTGGGGACTGACTGGCTAAGCAGCAGTTCTGCAGAAAAGGACCTGAGGGTTACAGTGGATGAGAAGCTGGATATGAGTCAGCAGTGTGCCCTTGTTGCCAAGAAGGCCAACGGCATATTGGGATGTATTAGTAGGAGCATTGCCAGCAGATTGAAAGAAGTGATTATTCCCCTCTGTTCGACACTGGTGAGGCCACACCTGGAGTATTGAGTATCAGAGGGGTAGCCGTGTTAGTCTGAATCTGTAAAAAGCAACAGAGGGTCCTGTGGCACCTTTAAGACTAACAGAAGTATTGGGAGCATAAGCTTTCATGGGTAAGAACCTCACTTCTTCAGATGCAAGTAATGGAAATTTCCAGAGGCAGGTATAAATCTGGAGTATTGCGTCCAGTTTTGGTCCCCCCACTACAGAAGGGATGTGGACAAATTGGAGAGAGTCCAGCGCAGGGCAATGAAAATGATTAGGGGTCTGGAGCACATGACTTACGAGGAGAGGCTGAGGGAACTGGGGTTATTTAGTCTGCAGAAGAGAAGAGTGAGGGGGATTTGATAGCAGCCCTCAACTACCTGAAGGGGGTTCCAAAGAGGATGGAGCTCGGCTGTTCTCAGGGATGGCAAATGACAGAACAAGGAGCCATGGTCTCAAGTTGCAGAGGGGGAGGTCTAGGTTGGATATTAGGAAACACTATTTCACTAGGAGGGTGGTGAAGCACTGGAATGGGTTACCTAGGGAGGTGGTGGAATCTCCTTCCTTGGAGGTTTTTAAGGCCCAACTTGACAAAGCCTTGGCTGGGATGATTTAGTGTTGGTCCTGCTTTGAGCAGGGGATTGGACTAGATGACCTCCTGAGGTCTCTTCCAACCCTAATATTCTATGATTCTGTGATGTCCCAATGCTGGTATTTCTGTTCCAATAGTGCTTATGAAGCAAGGGTTTTCAGCAAACTTTCCTGTAGTGAAAAATGTTTGTGGTGAAGCCACTATTATTACTAGAATGTAACATTAGACTACTGGTGCAAGAGTTGAAGCTAAACTGTACATGCAGTATTAGGTGGTAGTCTGGACTACTTCATCTCTGTTATTTGCTTCCATTTCTTGAACACACAATGGAGTGGGTTTTCAGGGAAATTTACTCTGTTGCCTCTAGTTTAAGTCTGAAACAGTCACTTAAAACATATTAACATTCCCTCAAGAAAAAGATTGTGACTTTTTGGGGCCCTGTGACATTTTTTCAAGGTCACTGGGTCACTGATTTGAAATGTTTGTTTCGAGGTTAGTGGATAACTAGTTGACGCAATCAAAAAACAAACAAACAAACCGCATGACCTTAGTGCACACAGACAGGTCACTGGCTTTTGAATGTTACCATCATATACAAACTAGTAGGGAATTGATGGAGCCTTTCTCTGCAGAGGCCTAATTTAATTCAGACAGACTTGGGAAATTATGATAGATATGAAAATTTGAGGAACAGGCATTTTCTAAAAGAATAGTTTGATTGACTGAAATAAGTTGCAGTTGTGAGGCTCTCTGTTAAAACACCCATGATAAAGACTCAATAGCCAATTAGTCCAAAATAATTTACTTTTTTTTCATAAAAGCAGTAACTTTAGAAAACTATTAGAGGGAACAGCCAAACAGCTTTTGTGGTTGAAGGTATACAGCAAATAGGTATCAAGTGACAATCGCTTGTGAATTATTACATATTTTCCTGTCTGTTAGCCAAATCCTCTCTTTCTGGTGTAAAATCAGTAAATGGGCTTTTTGCAGGAAGGTTACACACAAGTCTGGAGAAAAGGGGACTGAACTCTGCCCTTTGCTCTCTGACTGATATTGCAGCCCCGTGACAGCTGAGTGGGCTGCTGGCAAATGAATCTACAAGTATGTGCTATGCACTAGCACTTCTTCTGGCCCACCTATAGCCTCTCTCAAAAACTCTTGTACAATTGGAATGAGTTAGCCCTGTGAGTTCTTACAGGTTGTTGATCCCCCGGATGATTCTGTAGATCCTGCTTCTCCAGTGCTGAGAAGAATTGTGCCATTTCTTTTGTAATGAGGCATTGCACAGCCCTCATTTTGGCTAAAGGATGTGATCCTATGAGTACTGCCGCTACTATTAGTGTTAGTGACAATAAACTGCAGAAATAGAGGGTGGAGACTTACATCAACAACAATGCAGCTAGTCTTTTCCAACAAATTTACAGGACATGAGTGTGACATTCCATGGATGCAGAGAGCACTGTATTTGTTACTGTTTTTTTTTTTCTTTTACTGGGTTGGTCTTTAGAAATACTCTGTTTGTTTTTAGGTATACTGACCTAAGAGAGTATTGATCACATAATCCTATAGATCGTGGACACTGAGGTGCACCATACAAGGCTGGATCCTCAGCTGCTGTAAATCAAGATAGCTCTGTAGGCTTCACTGGAGTTCTGCTGATTGATATCAGCTGAAGAATTGGCCTGAAGTGTTACTTTACCAGTCAGAATATGTAGGGTAGATAAAAATGATAGTGAGAGAGACTTTGTTCCTAGCAAGCTCAGGAATGGATAAGGAGTAGGTTGAAATTCTAGAGAGAATACAATTGAGGACATTTTAAGGAAAGGTCAGCACAGCTTTGCCAAAATGGAACGTCACGTGTGTTGAGTGCAGTCTCTAAGTAAGGCCTGAGGGCCCTGGTAAATCACACACGGCCATGTTGCATGTCCTGAGTCTTGGAGCTCAGTTCAGGCCCAGGGGCTATTTGGAAAGATGGATCAGTTTGTGATAACTGAACAACAGTGACATGTTGTTCTAATGAAGTCTATGAAAGAAAATGCATAAATATGATAAATATGATGTATGGATCTTGCAACCTTAATTTAACCTTAGTGAAGTTTTTTTTGTGTGGGAATATATATTGTATTGTACAGCTGAGTGTAATCCATTGAATGGTTTATGGATATGCTCCTCTAGAGGGTGTTAAACAGTCACTACTGAGTGCTAGATTTTGCATTTGGATCTCTGATTTAACTGAAAAAGGTGCAAAAACTGATTCATCCAGCCAGTTCTCTATTGGTTATACATCTGAGGCTCAGGATCTTCATTTGTTACTTTAATATTATTGTAAAAGTTGTAGACATGTCGCTTGTTTTTTTTTTTTTTAATGTAAAGGTCTCCATTTCAAATACGCAATGAAAAATCTAAAGAAACAAAACAAAAAATTACAAGGTTCCGATAGAAATTATGATTATACTAGTGGCTGAAGAACTGCCTGTTTGAAACAGTAGCCTATGAAGAATTTATGTAGTTTGCAAAATCCACTTACTTTTGCTCTCATTTTCCCTCTTTTTGGGGGGACCAGCCACTTCAAATGCAGGAGCTAAGCATATCTGGAGATATGGTGCTTTTTGCTGACTGCTGGAATGGGATGGATGAATAGTTTAATTTGATTAATAGTTTAATTTCTCACAGCCCCTTTTATGCTTTAGGAGATTCACAACAGAAGGCAGAATAGACCCTTGGTGTCTAATGATAGCCAGTGGTGATTATCATCATTGTCCAAATTATGAGGTTTTATAGTGCCCACAAGAGTGCTACGTGCTTCACAGAAAGTGTATAAATGATAGGTCCCTGAATCAAAGAGTTTACAGTTGAATTGGTAGGATTGACAAACTGAGAAAAGAAAGAACATTGAGGAGGAACATGGGTTGTGGATAAAGGATAATGCGGTTACTCACTTCACACACATATACATCTTAGATGGTAAAATGTGGTGTGTATGAAATACTCACTTTTTTGTGTGTGCTGCAGAGTGATTGGAATGAGGGAAAGACTTGACAAATAGATTTTGGCAGTCCACAAATAAAAAGTGTTGTGTAGTAAACATGGAGATGTCTGAGAGAAATAGATTAAAAGGAGTACCAAGGTTGGCATCATTGGCAAAGTGGAAAAGGCAAGGGAAATGCAAACAGAGACCGGGTCAGAAGTGTATACTGGAACTACTATCGTGTGGTACTTGCTTCTCTACATTGCCTTAGGCAGCTCCCTTAGCTTTCACTGGAAGATTTAATTATTGCTGTATTGCCTCAGCATGATGCACCCTAAAAAAAATCCCATTGTCTGATATAAACCCTGAATAAAGCAAGGTAGAGTGTAATCCTTAACAGGTGCAGAGAAGAGCTACTAGGATGATCAGGGGAATGGAAACCTACCTTATAAAATAGAGTCAAAGAGCTTGGCTTATTTAACTTAACCAAAAAATAAACTGAGGGGAGGTATGCTTGCTCTATATAAATACATCACAGGGTAAATACCAGGGAGGGAGAAGAGTTATTTAAATGAAGCCCCAATGCTGACACAAGAACAAATGGATATAAATTGACCATCAACAAGTTTAGGCTTGAAATTAGACGAAGATTTCTAACCATCAGAGGAGTGAAGCTCTGGAACAGCCTTCCAGGAGAGCAGAGGGGGCAAAAAACCTAACTGGCTTCAAGACTGATCTTGATAAATTTATGGAGGGGATGGTATGATGACACTGCCTACAATGACATGTAGCTGATCTGTGACTGCTAGCAGCAAATATCTCCAATGGCTGGTGATGGGACACTAGATTGGGAGGGCTTTGAGTTACTACAGAGAATTCTTTCTCATGTGTCTGGCATGTGGTTCTTGCCCATGTAGACACGATAAATCGATCCCAGATAGATCAATCAATACCCACCAATCCGGTGGGTAGTGTAGACGTACCCTAAGTCATGATTTCTGTTCTTCAGTAATGTAGCCAAAGGTTGTGGGTCTATCACAGGAGTGGATGGGTGAGGTTCTATGGCTTGCAATGTGCAGGAGGTCAGACTAAGTGATCATGATGGTCCCTTCTGGTCTTAACGTCTATGAATCTAATTATGAGATTCCATGGTCTTCTGGATTTGTATCTAAAACATAACATTACTCAAACATATTTTTCTTTTTCTTTTTACCAGTTTTTTAAAATAAAAGCAAAGAAAGAAGAAAATAGTTTGAATGGAAGTGTCCAAGATTCCTTTGTTGTGTGAATCATTGAATCATTCAAAGTGGGTAATCACTGATTCAGGTATGTTATAGTTGATCATATCAATTTGTATTATTGGGGATCATTAACACATGTATAATTGACAGTGTAAACCACGATGGCTGTATGTGTGAGATGCTTATTTATAAGAAAGGATTAAGCACTGTTTGGATAATATAGCTGAGAGCTCCGCGCTGAGCCAGCAGCCCAGGCTCTCGGCATTGGGCAGCTGGGCTCCCAGCTGGGAGCTCTGTGCCGAGCTTTCAGCCCCCCACACTATCCCACTTAAATTGGTGCAAGCACTTCTTGGTGAGGGTGTGCACCATCGGCAGAAGGAGCATAGTATGGACGTGAAAAATGCAGTAATTAGTGCAGTGGCTGTATGTCAACCTAACATAGGTTGACTTAATTGTGTAGTGTAGACAGGACCTTAGTGTTAAGGCTCCACCTAGCAGGAAGCAAAGGCCTTGTAAGGAATTGTTCTGCTCTTGGGAAGGGCAAAGAATAGTGGAAGAAAAGGAAAAACTGGAGGAGGGGATGAAAAAGCAGAGGAAAGGAAAATATAAAGGACAAGGAAGTTGAAGAATAACAGTACTTGCAGAGTCATTACTTATCATGTCTTTCCTAAACATTTAAAACCCTTCAAATTACATGCAAAAGGTGAGAAAATTCCCCACCTCCCTATACAGACAAAATCCCAAAATTAAAACTCTGAACATTTCTGCAGAAATCAAACTATAAATGCAGATTTCTAGAAAAAATGTTTCATAATGAAACCTAGGAAACCAACCAGAAAATTCTGTGCATAATATACATAAATTATGTACTTTTCTGAAATCGTGTGGAATAATACTTTAGGTCATCGTTTCATCTGAGTGTTGGTTATATAATTTTCCCAGGTGAGAAACACTTTGACTATTTTGCATGCAAAACAATTGATTAGGATATAGTTTCCTCACAGTATTTTTTTGTAGTGAGAAAAGGTGCTTTTTCCCATACTTTCGAAGCTTCTTGAATAGAGGTATTATTACAGTGAGAATGTGTCGTTTCATTGTACTGTAGTTCATTTAGTCCCAGGTGTACTATGTGTGTGTTCGGTCTAAGAGAGGGCATGGGAGTCTTGCCAAGTGCTTCAGTTTTTCTTGGCTCCCTGCCTAAGTGCTACATTTTTCTAACTTGTGAAATTAATTTCAACTTGTAACCTGTGGCACTTTCAAGGTCATAATTGGAAGGTGTCAGGTGTGCTTTAAGAATTTCTCAACAAGTACAGGGTCTATTAAAAAAGTTTCTTTTTAAATAATTGCTGGCTTACAAATAGCTCAAAAGCAAACTAGCATGAACTCTTCAACACCTCTCGAAATTCAACAAAACTGACATTTATAGCTTTATTGTAGCAGAGACATGGCATTTGGATTCAGATTGTTTGGACTGCAGAGCGTCAGTATAAATAGCTATGATTGACTTTTGTATGGAGCACATCTGGAAGCAATTTATGGCATTCCAGCTAGATTAAAGCATGTTTTAAAGGAATTTCACCAGCTCTTTTTTTTTCTGGCTATGGTGAATAAAGTTTCAAAGAAGGTTTAGCTGCTGTTCCTGTTAATGTGGACTGTAGTGAAGTCAAACTAAGGGCAAATGGAACCCCCCCCCCCACCCCACACACACAGTTAGTGTATTTTTTTTCCAAAATAGGAAAACATTGAAGTGAGTAGTATTGGATCATTTTCTTCTTACTGGAAAGTAAGATGAAAGCATCTGACACCAGGATGCTGTTATACACTGAAAATAAGTAAACTAAACCTTGATTAATAGGCTGGAGGAATTGACTTACGAGGAAAGATATTTATAAAAACCTAAATATTGGCTAATGATGAGTAATTGTTTACCTATATTTGAATGATGTAAATACCAAAAAGAGAGAGGAATTGTTTAGTGTATTCCAATGAGGCATAATTAGTATAATATGAAAAAATATACTGAAGAAATTTAAGCTGAATATGAAGGAAAGTTTCTTAATGGCTTAATCTATTGCACTTTGTCACACAAGGGAACTGGGAAAAGCCTCATTTATTGAGTCACTGAAAACCGTACGAAATGCTGTAGGATACAGTAGATTGTCAGGAAAGTCTGGCAAAAAAATAGGCCAGTTAACCTCATAAATCTTTTCCAATTCTGATTTCTGTAAAAATGTATTTAAAAATGTAACTTGCACGTTTTGTTAAAATATTTTTCTTAACTGATGAGCTGTAAATTGCACCACCAAAAATTGCTAAAATGTATAACATAGCACGCAAGATTCAGCTGAGGAAAATTAGCTGTCCGTTGAATTCTAATTCACAGGGATTTTTCCCCCCTATGTTGCATGTGCTCATTGAAACTGTTGGCCTATGTTTGCTTGAGTGTTCAATTAACACAGTGATTGTGGCAGATTGGTTTTTGCTCTGTCACATTTAATATAAAACATAATTAATGTCACATGAGAAGTCTAAGAATTATGAGTCCCGTTTCTTCATAGATGAGCAAAGGAGACCTGAGCTGTCTGTAAGGTTAACACCATTGGTGAAGAACTGCAGAGGATGGGGGATTGTAAATGTGAGCTGAAAGTACTCCATTCTTTGGAGCTACCTTCAAAGGTTATAAGATTCAGTGGCAGGAGCAAGAAAACAGAAACTGAACCTGCTTAGCCATATTGAATATAATCCTGAATGAATCTGGGGAAAGATTCTGGGGGAACACACTTGGTGGTGGGAGAGGCCTGGTCTGAGAATTAAGGCAGTGAAGTCAAAGGCACCTGAATGGCAAAGGAAGGTGGGATGTTGCTTTGACACACTGGATCAGCTGGGAGACCAGGTGAAAGTACGCTGTAGTTGTTTCCGTTTTTAAAAAATTCACTGTAACTATAATTTAGGAGATGTCTACCTATGGACATTCAGGGAAGTTAACACACATCTACTGAAAGTGTGGAGTCAATGCTTAGAAATTCAAGTTTGTTATACCCTCATGTAGATGCTCAGGAGTAATATGGCGTTAATTCTCTGTAATTTAAGCCTCCTTCAAGGATTCTAGATGATCAGATTCAGAACATTCCTTTTTTGGCCTTTAAATCTATGAACATCCTTACGTGGTCAATTTCATACTACAAATGGATGCAACCATGTGCCATTCACAGAGACTATATCCAGAATTCTGCTGCACAGTTTCACAGAATGAGAGCATCCATATGGAGTTTTAACTCACTTTAATTTATATGCATTGATTTCACACCTTTAGTTGATTTGCCGTAAGTTTCTTGAGTGTCCCCATGTAGACATGACCTTAATGTACTGCATCTATTTGTCTGACTATATGTTATACAAACAGTTTCTCTTGTTTTGATCTGGTTTAATAATCTTGTTTCTGATTAGGTTACTTGAGACTTAAACTGCTATTTGGGAATTTCATGCAGACTGTTCAGAGAGGTGAAACAACTTTCAACCTCTAAGAAGAGGTAGTGAAAGAAGAATTCCTAGAGCCTAACCTGCTTTGGATTTTCACTCAAAAGGGCATAGACTATGGAGTCCTCTCCCGCAAGGTAGGCTGTAGTCTGATAGATGCACAAAAAATGTCTGATTACAAGGGCAAGAGCTAAATAAGGAAATACTTACATTGTTTTGAGATTGGATCTTGTCTGTCCCATTGTTATGCATCTAGTTAATTATGTCTGCCTTGTCTTGGGCCCTGTGTATTTTCTGATTCTGCAGCCTATAGAATTTGCTATGGAATCCCACATTTTTCCATAGAATTGTGCTTCAGTCTCTAAGCTTTATTTATTTTTTATAAATCTTTCTAGCTTCTGTATTTATGAAGATAACCATAAAACTGTAAACTAAATGTAAACCAATGCAGTATTGTGTTACTGAAACTTCAGACAGTTGGAAACTATAGTTGTGAGAGATTTAAACTGCCCCAATCATCTAAGCATTAGATCTGAAGCCTTTGGATGAAAATTCATATGGCAATATTGTTAATTATTTCATTGCTGATCATGTTAGTAGACATAACACCAATAATAAATGGTCCCACTTGCTAACACATAAGCTGTGATCTTCAAACTACAGTATTCTGTTGAAGCACAAGAAGAAAATAGACTGCAGCTCACTCTATCTGAATTGTCAAGTATCAGAGGGGTAGTCGTGTTAGTCTGAATCTGTAAACAGCAACAGAGGGTCCTGTGGCACTTCTTCAGTCTTGCATTTGAAGAAGTGAGGTTCTTACCCATGAAAGCTTATGCTCCCAATACTTCTGTTAGTCTTAAAGGTGCCACAGGACCCTCTATCTGAATTGTGTTGACTCTGCAATGCTCATAGTAGTAAAAAGCAGTAAAACTTTTTTTGCTAAATTTTATCTGAAGATCTTGGTCCTGAGACTGGCAGTGTTACAGAGACAATGGGAATTTTTTTTAAAGAGAGCCTAGGTGACTTAGGAGTTAAGTTCCTCTAACTTTCAATGGGACGTAGGCTCTAAGTCACATAGGTGCTTTTGAAAATGGGACTTAATGTGCTTGCTTTGATTGTGGGGAAAAAAAGATGGATTTGGGTGAGAGAGGGAGACTGGGTCAGATTTTGAAAGATATTTAGGTGCTTAAAGGTACATGTGGGCGCCTAGGATGGTTTTTAAAAATGCCTACGCAGGTAAGTGCCTTACTCCCATTGAATTGATTTCAGTATGAGTTAGGTCTCTAACCTGCTTAGGCACCTTTGAAAATCTCATTAGGCACCGGAGTCTCTAGATGCCTAAATACCTTTGAAAATCTAGCTACTATTCCTTAAATAATTCGTGTACTGTCCTCTGCTGATGAAATAAGGTAGGGAACTGCATCCTGTTCTTCTAGCCAATTCAAGTTACTAATCATGTGCTACCGTGGGATGTGACACTGGCTTTTCATTGTCACATGAGGAACAATGTTGGAATATGTGCATTGATTACATCATATTCCACCCTTGATATTTACACTGGCCTTTCATTGATGGCAACAGTATTTGCTCATATAGAACAATGGTAGGCTATCACCCTGAAAGTATGAGCAGTGAATTTGTTCACGAAAACATGATTACCACAGGGCATCTCCATTTTAAATGGTATGACGTTCTAGCAAATAAACACAGAAATCCAAGGGCCCAATCTGCTAAATGCTTAGGGTGAAATCTTGCCTCTATTGACATCAATGGCAAAACTCCCATTCACCTGAATGTTGTCAGGATTTCACCTCTACCTCTAGTAGTAGTGTTTGTTGCCAGCTGTAGTCCCATTTAACCCAGTGGCACTCACACCATAGTAGTAAGCACTACAGCTAGTATTGTTTCCAGAGTTAGGCCCTAAAAGAATAACACACAACACACGACTGTAATTGATTTATGTTGCCTGGTTATTTCATTACTTTTTTCTTGACAAGTTCATTGAAAGGTAATTTTCTGAGAGGTGATAATATCCACAGAATAAAATATGTTGGACTGAACAAGTTCAGAATACTAAATCACGAGCAGTAGTGCTGCAATGAGACTTTGTTCATCTTTTCATTAGCGACTGTATTCTGTCATTATATGACATCATTATTTATGCTGATTGAGGCAGGGGAAACTTTAATGACCACTACAGTAGGCATTGGGAGCATATTTTAACTTATGGATGTAAAATACAAAAATAATTGCTAGTACTGTATTACCAGGATTAATAGAGGCACTGTAGATGTTTTTTTTATTACTCCTGTACATAGATCTCAGGAATTATTCTTGGCAGGCATAGCAATGGTAATGTTATTTTCCTATTTTTTGGTTGAAAAGTTTTGACAAGATATTATTTAATATTATTTGTAAAAAAAAATTCTTTAATATTAAATTCATAATCTATCTTTGTAATATAATTATTTAGCAGTTCCATAAAAAGGATATCTGGTCATCTCTTAACAGGCTCATTTAGTCAGATGTATAAAATTTGCATTCTTGCACAAGTACCTAATAAATAGCAATAAACATGCCAGGCAACGTGCCAGGTACACTTCAGAGGCTTGTAATCTGGTAATAGTTAGAGTAGACAAAGGTTGTGAAAATTCCATGCTTTTTTAATAATTAAAATATTGTGGTGTTTTTTTGCCTGATCCAAAACCAGTTGGAAGTGAATGGGAGTCTCTTCTCTGTCTTCAGTGGACTTTGAATCTGGCCTTTTATAATTGGTCCCCAGGGCAACTTCTTTGAGTATCTCACAATTATCCCTTATTCTATTGATTTTTTTTTTAATGGCCACGTTCATTGGGGTTGAATTTAGCCCACTGCATGTATGTTTTATAGATAAGTTAACAGAAAATATTGTTTTAGTATGTTTTACTGATGCCTGTTCCCTTAAAGAAAGTATAATGTAAATTAGAAGCGACGTTTTACAAGGGAGTAGTTGAGGGAGCATGTGGGAGTTTGCTTAGTAACAGCCAGATTATATTTTAATATTTCAGAGAGGTTATTTAAATGGCAGGCAAGAATCTTTATAAATAAATGAGACATTAGACTTATAACAAAGCAGTATAAATTATAATGATGATCATGATTACCCTTTACACTGACAGGCATATGTAATGTTTTATTTGTGTTTGAACTGAAGGAGTTTGATGATGTATTTTAGAAACAGGTAATGAAGAATTAATTGTTTCTTTATTAATATTAGTGAAGTTTAATGTTAATATATTCTCCAGTTCTTAGTGTGGATGTGTGGGTGACATTGTTCAGAAGTACTCTTCAATTATTTTAACAGGAACCATATGTACAAAGGGTAGTTGAAGTGCAAGATATCAAGTCAAAGTAATTGATGCTATGCAGACCTTATAGACTTTTCCATTTCTTTTTTAATTAAAGTTTCAGTCCAATGAAATCCTTTAAAGTAAATTAAAATTAATCAGAGGGTAAAGCTGTTCTGTGGAGAGCATAAAACAGCTAAAACTGTTTTTCATATTGTGCATATATTGGTCTTTCAGACAATATTAATTGATTTATTTGTAAATGTACCATGTGAACTATTTGTGAAACTTAAAAAATGTTAGATGTGAATCTTATTAGGGCAACAGTATTCAGTCATTGATTTGAATCAATAATTGCTTGAACAAATTACAGCTATATTATTGTATTGGTTTTAGCTATGTAATTAAACTTCAAAAACTATATTTTTATCTTTAAAAGGGAAATTTTAATTACTTCCCCCCCTATTTACTAAAGTTTCACTATACCTTTTTATTATGATGGCTTTCTAGATGGAAAATATAAATGCTTGGGAAACATTAACAAAAAACATAGACTTGGCTTTATTATACATATGAATAATGTTTGATGAGAGAAAGAAATGCTATTTACAACAGTTATTAAAGCCCTCTAATAATATATTTTTCTCTGTTATTGAAAATCTGTAATGTTTCCCTGAATGAGTTCTGGCACTATTTAAATATAGTGGTGAAACAAGTAATCTTTTACGTTACTTAGTGATGTATCACAAAATACCATTGCTTGTCATCCATGCAAGGCCTATTGAAATCAGAGGGTGAAGTCTTAGACCTATGGGAGTTCAGTGGGGTCAGAAATTCACCAGTAGAGGTCTATCTGAGTAGGAATGGGAGTAAGACGGTGGGAGTTAAGACTTGGAGGACCTCCACTATATCAGGTAGTCTTGATGGCTGATGATGATGATTTTAAAAATAGTATAGTATAATGGCTAATGAGGGTCAGGCTGGAGAATCTTGCCTACGTGCTCGGGGTTTTACTGATCGCCATATTTGGGGTCGGGAAGGAATTTTCCTCCAGGGTAGATTGGCAGAGGCCCTGGAGGTTTTTCGCCTTCCTCCGCAGCATGGGGCAGGGATCGCTAGCAGGAGGATTCTCTGCTAATTGAAGTCTCTAAGCCACAGGATTTGGGGACTTCAACGGCAGAGTCAAGGGAAAGGGTAGGGACGGCTTTGTGGCCTGCATCATGCGGGAGGTCAGACCAGATGATCATAATGGTCCCTTCTGACCTTAAAGTCTATGAGTCTATGAGTCTAAAAAGTCCTAATTATGGACAGATTTTTGGGGAGTTGGGAAAGGGAAAAAATGTTAATGCACGGGACTGAGACTCATGAAATCTTGGTTCGGTCCCTGATTCTGCCACAGATTCTCTGTGTCCCCTTGGGTATCCCATTCAGGCTACGATTTTCAAAGGGCCGTTAGGAAATGAGGCTTCCAATTTGCAGTAGTCATTATTGGCAGCTGAGCACCTAAATCCCTTGGGCCCTTTTGAAAATCTCTGCTATAATCTCTTGGTGCCTCCATTCCCCATATCTATCCCCAAAGAGGTTGTGAGGATGTACATTAAAGATTACTAGTTGTTCAGATTCTACAGTGATGAAAGCCATATGAAGCTGTATGAATATCTATCTGGGTTCAACAAGTAATTACGATCTCAACATTATTCCTTAAAAAGTATTTTTTGCTTTTGGGTAAGTAGATAATTCTAGGGAAAATACAGGGATCATTTCATACTTGGGGGATTGACCTGGTATTCACTAAGTGATATGATTTTATT